CTCGCAGTGAGACTTGTGGTCACTACACTTCTATTTCACAGCCTGCTTCAGCATGTTGTTTTGGTTTTTACATTTTATTGAAGGATGGGAATTTTAAATAGTGTTCTCTCATTAGGAGACTTCTATTAAATTTAGCATTTGCCTGCAAGACACAGACCAAGCAGATAACATTAAGTAAGTAGGCAACTTTTCTGTGACCGATGTGCTACAAAAAGAACTAGACAGAACAGTGTATGTTATGTTTAAAAGAAAATTAGAAAAAAGAAGAGTCAAGCAAGTAAATTATTAGGTGAAGTACAGGCATCAGTATTCAAATTGCACAGAAGCTGCTCCCAAAATTAGATTAGTAAAGCACAAGACCATTCTACACTATTGAACCATCAGCAGCAGAAGGAAGTGAGCTTTCTCAGATTTTATCACCTTCACTTTAAATTCTGCAAAAAAAAATTTAAAGGTCTAAGAACAGACCATGAGCAAATCAAAGCTTTATTCTGTTATATTTTCTCCCTGATTCCTAAACAAGTTTTTTAGAATGACATCTCCTTCTTCAAAATCTGGACACACATAGAAATTCAAGTTTTTCTCTTTTAAGCAACAATCAAATAACTATTTAGATACAATTAAAAAATAAACCCCAGTATTGCAGCCAGTTGATATTTTTGGGAATATCAAAACAGATTTTTGTATGGGAAAGCTCATACAAAGCAAACCCCATGTCATTAAAAAGTCCTCATTACAACACAATTTTACACATGGGCTGAGGCACAAGAAGACCCAGTCATGCAGTATTTCTACAAATAAACACACAGACAGAAAAGTTCATACTGCTTTCAATAACAAGCTCCAAATGAGAGAAAAGCTTCAGTCATGCCCAGCTTATCTTCAGTTGTACAGCTGGACCTGAACACCTCGAGTAAAGCAAAACTTGAATTAAGGAGTGAGCAAGTGACAGGGGTTAAACCAAGACTTGATCTAGGCTATTGTTACTAAAAGGCTAAATTGCTGCATTAAATTATTGCTTGAAGTCTGCAAAACTGGAAGTTTTTACCCATTATGTCATTGACTGAGAAGTATCTCATTAATACGTCCAGAAAGGAAGTCTTCTTGCTGCTCCAGACCCATTCCATTAGTTTTGAAGACCTACTTCCCTCACTGTCCTCTTTCAAACCTTGGTTCTGTGTTTTATCAGGCAGGCTGCACAAGCAGGTCACCTCTTTCTCTTACAAATGGAAACAGACAGTGGCCACTGTCCCTTCAGGCTGTTTTTCATAATCTCTCAATTTTAGCTGTGCCACAGCAGCTTCACCCTACTGCTGCTATAAGACTGTTTGACTACAGGTCACAGACACCCTTCACAAACAAAAATCATGGGAAAATAAACATCACCACAAGAATTAGTTAGGTGTCCCTCAGGCCCCAGCCCATTCTTCTGTCTGTCACCACTTCATCTATTTTGCAGTCGCAAAGTCTCTCAGATGAGGAGGACGACGCACTGAATCTTGACCTTTGTGCTGCAAACCTAGCCTTGAGCAACTTGGTGACCTACATGGCAGCGGCACAACTCGATAACTAGTTGGCTGGAGTCTGAAAATGCATGATTCACTTCTGATTCTCCCCACATCACTCCCTGTGCTGTCACTAGACTATTTGCTAAAAAATGTTATTTCCAAAAGCAGACTTTTCAAGCTTGGTGGCTTCACGAAACACTGCTTTGAAAGAACTTTATTAATAAAAAGAAAAATGTATATTCTTTTCCTACCTAAACACTGAAATTTTTAAGAAATTTACGAGAAGGAAATCCAGCATCAGCTCCTGGTGCTGGAGCTCCTGCTTATTTTTCCTAAAACTACCTCCCAGTGTTTTAGACGAGTAACATACAATTCTGGTTGCATATTTTGTAGGGCCAAAGATCTACAGTGCATCTGAAAATTTGCATACACCTCTGTCCAGAAGTGGTACCAGGGTCTTGTGATATTAATCTATGTGTACAAGCTGGCTGCTAGAAAGATATACTTGAAAAAGTAGGATTTGGAAAAATTTGGTGTGCTAAACTGCACCAGTACATATCTATACACCTCACCATCCAGACTAGCTACATATCTCCCCTCCCTTTTCCCTGAAAATGCACAGCTAGAATTTCAGTTGTCACATTCCTTACTGCATCCTGTGTCCCTAAAAGACTCTGATGGCATTTCTCAGTGTTGCAGAATTAGGCTTTCTTATCCTCTTAATGACCAAAACACAGCTGTCCAACATGTTCCAGCTGGCACAACCCTGGCATCTCTACTGTTAACCCAGCAGCACATCATCTGGGCTATTTTGTCCCAGTGAACATGCATCAATACGCACATATATATCTAACAGACAAATGGGGGCTTCTTGCATTAAAAAAAAAAAAAAACTAGCATTGCTAAAGCTCCTAGCAAGTTTTGTCCACATTATGAAGTTCAAATACAGGTCTGACAAAGAGACTACAGACAAAAAGTTGAGTGGTTTGGGATTCATTAGTCTAGTGTCTTAAAAGCTATGTGCACACAAGAGGATAAAGAAACAACTCGAGCTATTCCCGCATTTTAAATGTTCCTGTGCAGACTCAGGAAAATAAGTTCTAAATGAGATTATAACAGGATTCAATCTTCAGAATTATCCTTAGAACTCTAATAGTTAAAACATGTTCAACAGTGATTTTTCTCCTGCCTGCAGAATGAGCCACAACGATGCAATACCATACAATTGGTTCTGAAACCATTGCCTCACCCTGCCCAACATAACACCTAAAGTAACTCTTTTTTTCTACCCTGTTGACATTGAAGGGAATACTCTTAACATGCGAAAATCTGTTGAATACTTAAAATCTAAAGAGCTGTCATAACACTGTCTCAGATTATGACCTTAAATTTATGATTGCTTAGAGACTAATTTTTAAAGGTGCCAAATAAATTATGCAAAGCTTGCATTAAACTCCAAGAAAAGACTCTGAAGGCCATGTTGCTTCTTACCCAATAAATCTTGTAACAATGCTCTTCATGAATAAGAGAACCATAATGATACATGTACAAAATGTTTTCAGTTACTTCCTGTAATTTCCTGTTACTTCCAGTTTACATGCTGTTCGAGAGTAACTCAACCAAGCAACCATGGACAGGGAGAGGAGTGTGTGTAGAGCAGCCCTGCCAAAGGGATCTGGGGGTGCTGGCTGGCAGCAGCTCAGGGTGAGTCAGCAGTGTGTGCCCAGGCAGCCAGGAGGGCAAACCCATCCCGGGGTGCATCAGACACAGCATCACCAGCTGTGATTGGGATCATCCTGCTGGATTCAGCCGTGGTGCGGCCTCACCCGGAGTCCTGTGGGCAGTGCTGGGCCCCACAGTCTGACAAGGGTGGGAAGGTCCTTGGATGGTCCAGGGGAGGACAACAGAGCTGGTGGAAGGGCTGGAAGGCACATCCTGTGAGGAGCAGCTGAGGGCTCTGGGTTTGTCTGGTTTGGACAGAAGGAGGCTCAGGGGTGACCTCATTGCTCTTAGAGCTGCCTGAGGAGGGCACCTGGAGAGGGGGTGCTGGTCTGTTCCTGGCATCCAGTAATGTGGAATGGGAATAGTTCAAAGCTGTACCGGGAGAGGTTCAGACTGGACATCAGGAAACATTTCTTTACCAAGAGGGTGGTCAAACATGGTCAAAAACATGAGGCTTCATGGAATTGATGCTTCAAACCTGCCAGCACCTTAAAAAGAGACACTTGGGCAATGCCCTCAGTAACAGGCTTTGTGCTCTGGTCAGCCCTGGAGCAGTCAGAGAGTTGGACTAGGCGATTGTTTTAGGTCCTTTTTAACTGGAACTGTTTTACTCCATTCTGGTGTTAAATAGCTCTGTTGGAACTAACAAAAAAACACAGTTTGGTCCAAGCAAAACTTGAACTTATGGCACTTGGAGGTGCCATAATGGTCTTAGCATGAGATTACCAATTTGATTTAAAGCTGTACGAACTTTTTCTGTCAGACGCAGAAATACCAACTGTGAGTGACAAACAATTTAATAAGAGACCACTCACATCTTCTGATCTGGATGCCAAGTTCATCTGTGTTATTCTCTGAACACTGGAAATTTCAGAGGGTAACTTGATTTTAACGCCTGGAGTTAAATCTCTAAGAATCTCTAAGTCTTCCATAGTGTAGCCAGAGTCATGGTTCCTGTCAGAACACCTGAAATACCCCTGCTTTCACACATTACAAGCATTGCTGCTGAACCAGAAAATCACAGACTCCTCACTGTTCACACCTTTATCCTTATTACTTGAAGGAATAAAATGAGGGACTAAGTCATTAGGAAGAGAGACTACGGCTAAGTTGTTTTGCTTTTTTTTTCCCCAACCACACAGCAACTACTATCACTGAAAAGCCTGCCCCAAGTTATCTTTTGTCTTGTTGAAGAGGAAGAGGTGGCAGAGCTTCATTTTGAACTCTGCCCGCTATCTCGATAACAGCGGTTCCCGCACGCCGCGGGCCTTGCCTCCAAGGCAGGGCTTTCTTTCCCGGTATCGGAGAGCGAGTCCTCCCGCACATCGGCTCCGCAGCCCGCGGTGCCGCCCGGGCCGCCCCGTTACCGCCTCGCGGGACGGGGAAGTCGCCGCCGGGATTTCCTTTTCCCGCCCGGGCCACCGCAGCCCAGAGCGCTCCTCCCGCCCGCCGGGACGCTGTGCCGGGGGTGCCGGAGCCCCACGGATCCCGCGGCTCCAGCAGCGGCCGGGCGGGCTCCACGCCGTGCGGTGCAACGCCGTGGCGCAGCGCCGGGAGGCGGCGGAGCAGCCGCGCCGCAGGTACGGGAGCCCCCGCCGAGAACGGGGCGTGTGGACAGCGGAGCTCCCGCCGCGGCCGCGCCGAGCCGAGCCCGGCCGAACCCAGCCACCGCCCGGGCCCTGCGACCCGCGAGCCGCCGCCCGCAGCCGGCCCCCCGAGCCGCCGCCCCCCGAGCCGCCCCGCCGCCGCCGCCCCTTTCAGCGCCGGCACCTGGATGTGGCAGGAGATCTCGGAGTCGTCCAGCAGCCGCACGGTGCATTTCATCTCCGCGCTCAGCGACCTGATGCTGGAGCTCCGGAACCGGATCATCCCGGCAGCCCGCCCGCCGTTGCCGCCCCGCAGGCAGCCGCAGGGGGCCAGCCTGCAGCGGCGCCCGGCCGACCACAGCACGGCACGGCACGGCACGGCACGGCACGGCACGGCACGGCACGGCACGGCACGGCACGGCACGGCACGGCACGGCACGGCAAGGCGCTGCAAGGCGCTGCACGGCGCGGAGCGGCGCGGCGGCAGCGCCACCCACCCCTCAGCCCCGCGGCGCCCCGTCGCCGCCCGCCATCCGCCCGCCCGCCGCGGCTCGGGCCGCCGCTGCGTCAGGATGCGCTCCGCTGGCCGGCCTCAGCATCCTCCTGCGCCCGCCCCCGGCATGGCACGGCACGGCACGGCGCGGCCCGCGGGGCCACCACTCCGCCCTCACCTGCTCCTCCCGCTTCTCCGCCCCACCGGTCCCGCTGGGCTCCCTGCGCGGCTCCGGTTCGTCGGGCTCGCAGCGCCGAGAGGGAAATGGTCAGCGCGATTGTTCGCCTTCCCCGCCACGGGCGTGCCTCGCCTGGTTTTGAGTGCACCTGAGCGACTGGTACTCGCGTGGGAATGCCCGGTGCCCTGAAAACGGGGCACATCCCACAGGCTGCCGGCCGCGAGTGGAGTCCCCACGCTGCCTGGCCGCCCGTGGCGTGAGTCTCCAGCGTATCCCAACATAGCCCGAGGCAGGAGGAGAAGCCTGTGGAATACATATATAGAATCATATACAGAAACCTCAAAGATGGGTGTACCCTAATGAAACAGAAGAAAACAGAATGCAACTTACTGTAAGAGTACAAGCCTTGGAAACTTCCTTCCTCAGGGAAAAAAATGACCCATTAGGGAGCAGCAGTCACACCCCATCTGTTGTCTAAGTGGGAAAGAAAAGAAAGCATCCAGTGGTTTCACTATTATGTTCTCCATCACACAAGGGTGTATACATTTGTGCAAAACCTTGCTGGCAGAAAGAAGCACAAAACTTAACCAGCCTTGAAACAGGGATCAGCACTGCGTTAAAAAATGAGCACTTTCCTTTGAAATATGAAATGAAAAACAGCCAGGGCAAAATGGGACATGGTTGGAAGTTTACAAATATAAAAGAAGCACTGACAGCCACACAGAAGGTGCACTTCAGTTATTTTGCCTAGTTGTCTGTGTAAATGTCCATATTTTGAAAATAATTCTGTGTGAATGTGTTGTTCTTTTGAAAATCCCGTGTAAAAGCCTAAGTGCTGCTACTGCTGTAAGCTCTTCCTTTGGCTTTCTGCTGGACTGCTAACAGCAGGAAATACAGGCAACCACAAACAAATGAGAAATATATAATGCTCGCTACCATCAGCTAATAAATATGCAAAGCCCTTTAATGTGGAACATAAAAGAAAAGCTATAAATATATGCTTCTCAGAAATGATAAATGCTTTCAGTTGCACAGCGAATAGTGAAGCAAACCAGTGAGTATTTAAAATAGATTATTCACCTCAGCAGCCACAGTCAGCCCACAAGTTATGGAAGAAGAAGATCCTTATCAACTGGGACACCAGATGTGGACACCCACTCACTAATAATAAAATAACTCTTCATGTCTTACAGTCCTGCAACATGGAAACTCAATAGCAGGATTTAAGCCCACGAGCAGATTGACTCTCAGGTGACACAGATTTTTTTGCTTCTCACAGAGAAGGAATTTTTCTTTCGAAGCCAGGTATTACAGCTTTCCTTCAGTCTCTGCAGCACACATTTCTCCACTCAAAAGGGGAATTATAAGAGGGAGCTGAGCCAACGATGAAGATTTAGTGAGCAGGTCATAGTCTGCCACTGTCTGAAGGAGGGTTTTGCTTTACCTTCAGGACCACATGGAGATGGATGAGCTTTCCAGAAGTTGTCAGAATGACAGCAATAGTGATGACTAGAACATAAAATCTGCATCCCCAAACTGTTGCACAGCAAGTGTGACCTAGCGTGTACCAACAGCAGTGCAGCTGCCTGAGCACAGAGCTCAGCAAAATTTTACTTGCTTGTTGTAAAAACAGGTCACTCTTGTCTCGTTGGTCACTTCGTTTTCCTCTTATACCTCATACCATGTTGACCTGAGGTGCCTGAGAACTCTGTGAAGCAGGTAGCCCAATTCTACGTTTCAGCTAGCACAGCAATAGTTTTTACTGCAGGAAATGTGGGAGCCATCTCTAAAGGAAGAACCAGATAAATGAAAAAATCAAAAACAAATACTCAACCCAAAGAGAAAAAACAAAGAACAACTATAAGGACTCAACCAAGCAATGAAACTTACTTTGGTTGAAAACCAAAGTTGAAACTCAAAACAGTTGAAAACAAAGTTGAAAGCCAAACACTCTGCCCAGTTGTAACGTCATGAAGTAAATCCATCAGATGAATTTTGCATCGCATATTTGGACTACTACCCCTTTCTTATTAAAAAAGCGTTCTATTTTTTTTTTCTCTTACAAATAGAAGACTCTTAAAGGTCTCTTAGCATTGTAAATTATGCAGGAAAAACCCACAAACTTATCTCAACACATATCACAGTGCACCCTTTTTTGCGAGATCTTGGAAGCCAAACAGTCCCTGTGCAGCTAATGTTTGGAAAGATCACCTGAAAAATCAGGTACTTGAGGAATTAAAGAGTATGGCAAATATAAGAAAACACAAAGCAACATATAGATAAATTTAATTCCGTTTTCATAAAATGCTGAGCTGATGGATTATATAAAAAAATATGCTGCTTGAACTTGCAGAATATGCTTCTGACTCAGGGGAAGGTTATCAGCTACTGCTGCTGCTGCCAAGACCATGGCATGTTATTGAGGGGTTTATTGAAGCACTCACCTGGCTTTGTACTGCAGACATTGGGAGTTCTAGCGGGAGATCTCAATACCAGGAAATGCCAGCTGCAAGAACTGCTTGGTGGCGGGCAGACACATGCTTGAAATGCATTTTAGATTCATCAGTCTCAGAACCACTCAGTCCAATAGCCACATTCCCATTCTCTTTTCATCTAACTGGTCACTGAATGACTTTGCTTTGGAATAAGTACATATGGATGCCCCAAAGGACAGTAGCCTACTTAGGTAGGAACCCAGGAAGTGCTGCCAGATACAAAGTTATATTTAGGGACAGCAGGGAGCACTAATGAGCTTGAGTAGTACTTTGATATCTGCATGATTCTGCATGGAGCCAAATTACAGAATATAATAAAGGATTTTCCCTTCAGTGGCTGATAATAATAGCAACTTTAGCTTTTTCAATTAATGTTTATAATTTAACCAAATATATAGACATTTGATAAGGATTTGTTGGGTTTTTTTCCAAATATTTGAAGATTAATCCACAAATACAACTGCTATGGCTGTAAACACTGCCTGCCAATAGCAGACCTCGAGTTCCAGCGTGGGCAGGCCAAATACACAAATCACTGTCGCCACAAGAGTGCTGTGCATGACACACTAACCTCCTTGCCCAAGGCCCACCCCTCCCCTTTGCCTCGGCCACGGGGCTCTCGCAGCCAGGTCATTAGCACGCACAGCAATTAGCCATTGCTCGGAGCTCATGTGCCATTTGTAAACAGTGACTTATTTGTGAAGTCTGTGACTGTTTAGATTTTACTCAGTTCCCTTCTGCAATAGGATTAGGAACTCCAACACTAAAATATTTCAGCTGAAGACAGATGGTCTGGGCATTAGGCTTCTCCAGAATGTATCCTAAAGAACGGGAGGTGGCAGTTGAGCTAGCAATGAATCAATAGTTCAGGGAGTAGATTCCTGTAGTCAGGAAAGTGTGAGTTTTGCTGTCAAAGGCACAAAGTCCACAGGAGAGCTGGCTTCCCTAGGTGTCCTAGAGATCCTATTGCACAGCAGAAGGTTTGAGTGACCTCTGAAGGAGCTGGCACACAAGGCAAACAAATCACGCATACCAAGGTCACAATTTTTTTGCGTACACTTTCTTATCTTCAAGGGGATTACCTTTGAGACACACACTGTATAATTGTAAAATATATCTTGTAACTAAGCTGAAATTAGTAGTGAGGTAATTGAAGGGCTGGGAATACCAGGCAGCATGCAAAATATGAAAACAAATATGAGATTCCACACATATGGGATCTCTTTTGTTTCAGTCTTAAGTAGTCATCTAAAAATCACTTCAGATTAAAAAAAAAAATTTAAAAAAAGCAGGGGGTTTGCATCTTGAAATAAAAGGTTTCTTACGTGCATTACACCAGTAACTTGAAAACTGTATATAAAATATTAATGTATATATCTAAAAAACCCTAAGAGTATTACAATATACGTAAGTTACAAAGAAAAATACATTTAAATAGCAAAAGTTCTACTGTTCACTGGGGGCAGAGTTGAGTCAGAAGGTGAAACATGAATTCACTTGGGGTTCTACTTCCTTTTGCATTTTGCATTACAAAATCAGTACAAAACCATCACATATTTGTTGCATGAATGAGAAAGCATCAAGATACATAAAATACTAGATTATTCGACAGCAGGTCAAATGATTTTCATGCTTGTACTCCAAAGGGAGCTGTCACTCCCTAAAACCATTTTAAAATGCAGGGCTATCTGTGATATATTTGGCCACAACTGGCCGAGTAAAAACGACCTGGAGTATTATTGAAATCTGCAGGGCTGTATCATAACCTGCATGGCACTGATGGTCTTGTTGGCCACCACATTCCTTGGGTGCACTTATGCACCCCAACCATGGCTTACAGGGGGAGAAGTAGTGAGTCAGAGAGAGATATTTTCTTCCACTGCTTAAGTTTAGCAATCTTTACAAAGATTCAGAACAAAGTATGGGAAGAACATTACAGTACTCCCTTCCAGCAGAGAATGTCAGATTGAATTTACCGTACAAACTCCTCAGCAAATTTCCTGCAGATGTTATCTGGAAGCTCAAACTCCAATCAGCATTTGTCTGAGTTAAACTGGATTGCACAATACCACACTTGAAATTTGCTGATGGGAGCAAACTTTACACTGATTTTAATC